AGGGTTGGGGGGTGTGTTGTTCTGTGGTTTTTTGGTTTTGTTCCTCCCTGTTAGTTTGGGAGGGTTTGGTGCTGTTTTTTTTCTGTGTTTGTTTTTGTTTCTTCGGTGGTGGTTGCCTTATCCACCTCCGTGTTCTTTTGCTTAATAAATTTCGTTTCTTCTCAAAAAAAACATATATGATTTGACTTTTTTCTATCCAGGGAAATGGTTCATCTAGCCATTGACGGGATGTGGCAAGTCTTTAAGCTTCAGAGATCAACTCCTAGAAATGATTTTTGTCGCATAGCCGCAAAGAATGGCATACTGCTCAGACTTATTAACACCCTTTATAGCTTGAATGAGGCAACTCGTCTAGCTTCTATATCTGGTGGAGGTGGCTTTCCACATGATGGTTCAGCTCAGCGCGCACGGTCTGGTTCATTGGATTCTGGTCATCCAATTTTTGCTCAGAGTGACACACCATTTCCTACAACTGATCAGCATGATCTGTCCAAGGCTAGGCATGGAATGATTGATTTTCATTTGTCAACTGGAACGGCAGAACCTGCACGTGCTTCAACTTCAAATTCCCAAAGGTTAGATGCCAATCAATCAGACCCCAGATATCTTCATCTAGATACGGATAGAGCGCAATCTAGCAGTGCGGTAGTGGAAGCTTCCATTCCTTCTAAATTGCCAGACTCAACATCTGTAGATAAAGTAGTAAATATTACAACCAAAGAACGAGGAGATCTTGACCTCAGGCAGCAGCGAGCCACTAATTCTTCTAGTAGGGCATCCACAGATAGGCCTCCAAAAATGATGGAAGTTACATCAAATGGGTTTCCCACAACAGTAGCTGCTCAACAAGAGCAAGTCCGACCCCTTCTTAGTTTGTTAGAGAAAGAGCCTCCTTCCAGACACTTTTCTGGCCAGCTCGAGTATGTACGCCACCTACCAGGGTTGGAGAGACATGAAAGTATATTGCCCCTTTTACATGCGTCTAATGAAAAGAAGACAAATGGTGAATTAGATTTCCTGATGGCTGAATTTGCAGGTAACAGTTTTCTTTATCTAATCAGTTTCTAAGTTTATAATTTGTGAACATGACTGTCACTAGTAATTCGTAAAGCTTTATCCTCAAACATGTATGTATGTACATGGATATATGTGTATTATCTTCTGGAATCATGTAAACTATATATAGACTGGCTCTCCAGGTGTTAGGATCTGACGACTCAAACACGAATTTATCCTCCCACCCGCATTAGGAACATTTGCACCCAAAAAAAATTAATTTTAATTGCTTTCTTTTTATACATAATATTTTTTTTACTTAATAATACCTCTTTGAATCAGCTAGGCATCTTTTATTTATTTCTGTATAGGTAATTGATTTATTCATTATTATACAGATGTCTCTCAACGTGGTAGAGAAAATGGGAATCTTGATTCCACTGCTAGAATTTCTCATAAAACAATAAATAAGGAGATAGGAACACTAGCATCTAACAAAGGAGCTGCTTCGACCTCTGGGATAGCCTCTCAGACAGCATCAGGAGTACTGTCTGGTTCTGGTGTACTAAATGCTAGGCCAGGCAGTGCAACATCATCAGGTTTACTTTCCCACATGGTTTCAACGTTGAATGCAGATGTTGCAAGGGAATACCTAGAAAAGGTGGCAGATCTTCTGCTTGAGTTTGCACAAGCAGATACTACTGTAAAATCATACATGTGTAGCCAAAGTTTGCTCAGCCGTCTTTTCCAGATGTTCAATAGGGTGGAGCCCCCAATTCTTTTAAAGGTACTTTGGAAAAGTTACATTACTCTTAATCTTCAGTGATTTATGTGCTGTAACCCTAGATAATGTTGGTGCTCTGTCATTTTACAGATACTGAAATGTGTCAACTATTTATCAACTGATCCAAACTGCTTAGAGAATCTTCAGCGGGCAGAGGCAATTAAATATTTGATTCCCAATCTCGAACTCAAAGAAGGAGCTCTTGTATCTCAAATACATCATGAGGTGGGCCTTCTGTCCTATTTCTAACAGTGACAGTGAATGTTTGGCTTGTAAGCTGTGCATTTTACAGTCTTTGTTGTTTGATACTATATGTATGATCTTTTTTAGTAATTAGTTACGTAAGTGGTTCAACTTGTGTTTGTATGTGACCTCTTTCTGTCCTTTATTGTTCTACTATATTGTCATCTTAGTAAAGTTGATGTTATAATGGAAAAGTACTTGGCAAAACTGAAAAAGTTTCTAAAATCTTATTTCAAGTTCTTGTCCTCTTTGCCTTGCTGAGTAAAACTGAAAAATTTTCTCATTTATTTTTTAGAGTTAACATTGTACTTCCATACTCCGGTTCCATGTTGTGCTGTATAAGAATCGTATATCTTCAGAGGATAGGTGTTATACTATAACAAAATGTCCATATACATGGTCACCAAAAGTTTCATGCTTGGCTCTTTTTTATTTCTAAGAACAGCATACATATGTACCTCATCATAGAACTGTATAAATTTTCAGTATTTTAGTCTGTATGGATATTAACTCTACATGGGATGCTTTTGATAAGAAACAGGAAATTTCTTAATATAAAATGAAAAGAAAAAGGTAAATAGCAGTGACAAGAAGTCCACTGGTGATACAAGCATAACTTTTAACATCTAACTAAAAGCAAAGAACAATTAAAAGTACCATGTCCAGAAAACAATTGTGTTAATAGAATGTCTCGGTATTCAGTAGTACAAATTACAATCATGCCACTCAGAGCGAACTACTTCGGGTTGTGTTTTACATATTCATGCAATACCTGTTTTATGTAGAACTGTTTGTCCTTTTTTTTAAAATCATTTTGGTCTGTCTTTAAGTTTTCTGATTACCACATTGTTCTTTACTTCTTTTGCAGGTCCTCAATGCCCTATTCAATCTTTGCAAGATTAACAAGAGAAGACAGGAACAAGCAGCTGAGAATGGAATAATTCCACACTTAATGCATTTTATTGAGTCTAATTCTCCTTTGAAACAATATGCGTTGCCTTTACTGTGTGATATGGCTCATGCATCACGTAATTCAAGGGAGCAATTAAGGGCTCATGGTGGATTGGATGTTTACTTGAGCCTTCTCGAGGATGAGCTCTGGTCTGTGACCGCATTGGATTCCATTGCTGTTTGCTTAGCTCTTGACAATGACAACCGGAAGGTTGAACAAGCGTTGTTGAAAAAGGATGCAGTTCAGAAATTGGTGAAATTCTTCCAGTGCTGTCCAGAACAGTATTTCGTGCACATATTGGAGCCATTTTTGAAAATTATCACGTATGTGATTTATATATGTATAGCCATTTTTGAATTAGCTGTTTCACAAGGCAATAGCCTCTTGGCAAGCCCATCAAAAAATAATCCGTCTTATGTCTGGAAGGTTTTTATTTATAAAAGTTGCTTCATTTATGAACGACCTTTTTTTTCTTTTGTCCTTTTGCAGGAAATCATCTCGAATTAATACAACATTAGCTGTTAATGGTTTGACACCGCTGCTTATTACAAGACTGGACCATCAGGATGCTATTGCCCGTCTAAATCTTCTTAAACTGATAAAGGTGAGAGAATCCTTTTTCTTGAATCTCATCTTGGTTCATCTGTGATGACTTTGAGAAAATACAAAGAGGATAACACTAATGTTGACCCTGAGAAACTGAATAACAACCAAATCACTTTATTTAGAACTGACTCATGTTTTCTGTTGGATATTATTAGTGTTTTTATGACGTGCCCTCTGTGCTTTTATTTGTTTGGTCAATGGTAATTTCGTAACTGAACCATGATGTTGGATTAACTGAACCATGATGTTGGATTAAGGCACCACAAAGACCAAATTTATGATTGAGACAGTGGGGTGTGACCTCGTCTTTTTATGAGTATTTACTACTCATTCATGCTTTTTATAATGTTAAGATACATAGTATTGTTGAAACCTATGTATTTGCTTCCTATTGTTATTATAATGCCTATAAATCTGTCATGGCAGGCTGTTTATGAGCACCACCCGCGGCCAAAGCAGTTAATTGTGGAGAATGATCTGCCTCAGAAGCTACAGAATTTAATAGAGGAACGCAGAGATGGGCAACGCTCTGGAGGCCAAGTGTTGGTGAAACAAATGGCTACTTCGCTGCTTAAAGCACTCCATATTAACACCGTATTGTAAATTCAAGCTCTCGTATGTTGTATATTGGATTGTTTAGGAAAAGTGTATTTATGCCCCTTTTTGTTCCCTAAGTTTTAGTTTCTCCCCGTTCTGGTTACGAACGTAGCCTTCTTTTTATTATCAGTGAGCTGCTTCGATTGCCTTCATTTGGTTTAAATAATTTTCCGAGCTTTACCCTTTTCCATGTGTTGTTCAAGTTGGTCTAAGTGTATTGTAAGCTTTAACCATAGACAGTTATCTCAATATTAATTACGTGTCTTCGATTGGTGATGCTCTCCTACTCCTATCACTTCTGTTTGTTTCCCAATTCTGGATCGTGCCTTAACAAAATTAAAACTGATTCATCCCTGTGGGGTGGGGGGTAACTTGGTTACATTTTGCAACCTCCAACTCCAGGAAATGGGCCCAGGAAAACCTTAGGATTATCATTTTAGAGTGGGCTTTCCTAGTAAATTGATGCATTTTGGTATCTCAGAAAAAGAAATATCGCAGATTCAAGCTATTGAATCAAACGTTAGTAAGCTTTGAGTGCAACCTTTGCGATCGAGCATGCGCAAAACTATTAAATTAACTTGAATTCAATACCAAATACAACAAAACCCAAATACAATAAGTACCCAATCTGCACACAAGGTGCTTAAAATTTGTCACACCAGCCTAATGTGAAACTTTAAAGCACGTTATCATAACTCAAAATCATTCCAACTTCTGCTAGTGTACAATCCATTGCAAAACAAAGCCAGGGCAACTGCACAAATTAGTCAATCAACATCTGAACAACCAACATCCATTTGCACACAGGATGGCTAGCAACTCTCATATCAAGTCCGCAACATTCATTGGCATTTCGTCAATCTGGGTACTGTAATACTGTTCTATGTCTCTTAAGATCTTAATATCATCGCTTTTGACAAAGTTTATTGCCACACCCTACATACAATCAAATAGCCCATTTTAATCAGCACTTGCAAACAAATATGCTAACGAAAAGAAATAAATAACACCAGTTTAAAAAAGTACATTATGAAACACAATATTGATTCTTAATAGCACAGATGAAGCATCTTTCACACCAACTCATAAATGGTCAACTTCAAAATGTGCAGGAATGCATTTGCAGGATAATTTTTTAAGGGCAAAAACTGGCTAGAGAGTTTACAAATGCCCAACGGGCGCAGTATGTAAAATGATCTATCAATCCAAATAACTGGCCAACTCATCTAAAAATGGCTCAAACTATGGATTCAACCAAACCATGTTACACATCTCATAACTTTATAAGTAGTTCTACTATTTCTCAATCCATCCTTAAACTAAATGCCATTGGGATCTCATTAGCACCACCAAATTTCTCGCATAAGATGTAGAGCGAAAAATGCAATTTCGAAGACAATATAGACGGAATTGTTAGAGGCAACAAATTAACTTCAAATTTGGCACAGGAAAAAAGCATAAACACAACATTGGATCTATCAATAAATAATATATAACTCGCACAAAAAATGTAAGATGGTGTAAACTTACACCACTGCCAATAATGATTAAAGAATACAAACCTTGCGCCCAAAACGACCAGAACGACCAATCCGATGAATGTACAGTTCACGGTTGTTTGGAAGATCATAATTGATAACCAAGGAAACCTGATGAAGGCAAAAACATAAACAAGCATTAAGAATAAGTGCAGCAAAACAACTATTAAAAGAAAAAAGGTTTTTTTGGAGGCAACTTAAACATCTATAGTCTGCATGTTCACTGTCCCACGGATATAGCACACCTAATCCTTGCAGCAAAAAGCAATCCCACTTGAAGGTTCTCTAGGCCCTCCAACTAGTACAAACTTATCAATACAATGTTTCTATTAAAAAAAATACATCACTTCAATTAATAGCAATTTCTCTGGCAAGTTGTAAATTTAGGTGACCCCATTAGTCCCAGGTAAACAACTATAGTTATGTCCACAACATGTTTACCCACCCACATATGGGTACACAAAAGAACAATTCAATATAATTCAACAGTTAATTATTCAATTATTCACACAAAATAGATTCAAGGTCAAGAGATTTTACGTCTATCTAATGATTAGACATTTATGAGAAAAAGCAACTTGCCTGCTGAACATCAAGGCCCCGGGCCCAAACATCTGTTGTGATCAGGACGCGAGTCGTGCCACCACGAAACTCGGCCATAATAGCATCTCTCTCCTTCTGAGGCATGTCTCCATGCATTGCAGACACAGTAAAGTTATTACTCCGCATCTTTTCGGTGAGCCAGTCCACCTGTCCCAATGAGATTGCATCAGTGATGCACCATGAAAGGAATAGTTAAGCAACCAGAAAGGTATGGCTTGCCCCATAAGGAAAACTATTACAAACAACCCTTTTTGCAAGCCTCTATTTTCACCTGACAGATTAAATGAGTAGCCACTAACGGTATGCATTGATGTATAAAGAGTAGCCACTAACGAAAAAAACCGTATAACTATGTAGGCTATAAGGCACACGAGGAAAAAAAATGTTTAAACTATCTCTTCTTAAATAATATAACTAAATGTACATTGACCACTGTATATGCTATTGTGTCAGTAAAAATCAAATATCTCAAAGGCAGGGCAGTTAACCATTTTATTTTCTAATTTGCACCCAGAATCCATAACCCAACAACAGCAGCCTTGCAACCCTTCTTTTTGGGTCAAACTTGATATTAATATCACAAACCAAATCTGACAGTACATAACAGTTTACCTTTCTCTTTGTGTTGCAGAAAATAACAGCTTGTGTAATTGTAAGGGTATCATAAAGATCACAAAGCGTATCAAACTTCCATTCTTCTCTTTCAACCGCAACGAAAAATTGCTTGATTCCCTGTCATCAGAATTACACAATTTACTACAAAATTCACATTGCATTGAAAGGAAGCATGCATACAACTATACAATACAGAAGCACTGCGTACCTCCAAAGTCAACTCATCACGTTTGACAAGGATCCTCACAGGTTCAGTCATAAATTTGTTGGTTATCTCCAAAATTTCATGAGGAAGTGTAGCAGAAATTAAGCAAACCTACAACATTACAACTGATTTCAGACAGAAACACTAAATTTGAACAAGATTTGGAACATAGCAATGCCCAGCATATATATTAAAGAGAAATGCAATTACAGAAAGATAAAACAGTACATAAGCAAAGGGGACGAGCATATGGGTATATAGATATATGAAGAGAGAGAAAACCTGGAGCTCAGGTGGAAGATATCTGTAGACATCATAAATCTGATCCTTGAAGCCTCTACTCAACATCTCATCAGATTCATCCTGGAAAGCAAAAACAAACCAAACCAAGCGAGACAGAAATTAAGAAACTAAGAAAGGAAGAAATCCAAAAGACACCGCCAAAAACAGAGAAAAGGAAGAAGAGAGAAGAGAGACTAACGAGAATTAATAATTTAATGGCTCGAGTGCGGAGAGTTCTCCTCTTGATCATATCACAGACTCTACCAGGAGTTCCAGACACCACATGAACACCGTACTCAAGCTTTCTGATATCCTCGCCTACGCTTTTGCCTCCAATGCAAGAATGGGCTTTTATATTTATGAAATTACCAATTGCTAGTATCACCTTCTCCGTCTGCGCCGCCAATTCCCTTGTTGGAGACAATATCAAAGCCTGAACCCTATGTACATAAATACATACATACATACATCAGATACAATTTTTTTTCCCGACAAACAAACAAACAAAAAGAAAAAAGAGACCCTAGGGGCTAGGAATGGAAATTAGGGCGTACTCTAGGGAAGAGGTATCGACAAGCTGACAGACGGTGAGGGCAATCATGGAGGTCTTGCCGGTACCGGACTGGGCCTGTGCAATGACGTCACGGCCCTCAATGATGGGCCTGACGGCACGTTGCTGGATGGCGGAGGGCTTCTCAAAGCCGTAGTTGTAGACGCCTCGGAGCAGATCGTCCCTTAAACCCATCTTATCGAAGCTCATGATCGGCTCTATCCCATCAGACGTCACGAACTCGAGCTTCTCGTCCCCGGTCATCCCTCCCCCGCGTCTCGTCGGTGCCTCTGCCATGACTGATGATATGCTGAAGACGACCACTACCACAACTATCAGACTGGTTTGGTGTTTAGATTAGGGTTTGCTCGCTTTCCTCAGAGAAATAAGAAGAAATAAAGAATGCGCTTGTTTCTCTAGATAACGATTCACGCGAGGAAAGGAGTGAGTGACAAGAGGCCCAAGGGTTTTATAATAAATAAACTTTCAATTTATCAGCGACCGCCTATCGAAGGTACTACCAATTAGAATTAGCAAATTAGGCGCCTGAGTCGTATGGCCGTATGATTTGTTAGTTGGCAAAGGCCTCGCTGTTCCCTTTTTGCCCTTTCTGATTTCTTTTCTAATTTTTAATGATTTCTTAGTAGGGCCCAACGAAAATAATTTAAAAAATATATTTCTTTCGCCTCCAATGGATATTGCGTGTATGAAAAATAATTGATTTTATTATACAAAGCAAAAATGTTTAGACCAAAATATTAATATACAAATTTAATTAGGGTAGTTCATTGAAAAAATAACAACTGTGATGATTATTAATTGAAGAATAAGAGATAATTGTTGAAATGTCACTTGAATTTATACCTTAGTTTCAATTTGTTACTTTAAAGAAAAATTTAAGAGGAATGTCACCTTAATTTTTTAAAATTCATCATTTGTCATCTGATTTAATGTCATCCAATTTTCCATTCATTTTTAAGGGTATTTTAATTTTTCCATTTTCCAAAAAAGGAAGAAAAAAAAAAGAGAGAGACCTCTCTCTCCAATGGTATTTTAATTAGGGTAGTTCACTGGGAAAATAACAACTGTGATGATTATGTATTAAAGAGAAGAATAATGATAACTTAAGTTATCAGAAAAAAGAAGAAAAAGAAGACTAATGACAAGTAGGCTAATTACTGTCGTTTTGCTGAGTATCGTTGGGCCCAAAAGGAAAACAGTGATCCAATTCAAAGTTGTTTCTGGGCCTATATGAACTTTCAGTTATGTTAGGTAGGGCAGTTAATTTTTTTTGTTTTGTCGGGGTCAATTTTTCAGTCTAAGTGTGTGACTAATTTTTTTAATGTGTATATAAGCTTACCCATTGAGCGTAAACAATAAATAAAGTTGAAACAAAAGCACAAAACATAAATTAAGAAGATTTTCAAAAATATCATGAAGAAGGAAACAGAAATCCAATTCTTTTTTGCATGTACCTACCTAGGAGAGAATTCTACCCACTAACATAGTAACATCGATCAGAATATAAAAGTAATTAAGTAATGAAATAAGCAGCTAGCTAGCTAGCATCTGCATTCTGTAGGCTGCCATTATATACACAAACACACAATCAAAGCTAGCAACTTAAGTCTGAAGCTTCTTCTTCTTCCTCTTCATCCTTTCAAAAGAGAATCAACTTTGTTGTTGACAGAAGCAGAGAGGAACTTCATGCAAATAGGAGCTTTGACTCCCACAATTGCGAGGATAGCAGCTGGAACACCCCATAAGGAGTCACCGCAGATGAGACCAGAAGCGACAGCAGGTGCAAAGTCGTCGGCCTTTTGCTTGTTCTTCCTCTGCCACAGGAACAGGATCAAGCTCCCCACGCACATGTCTATGGCGAAGTATGAACCAAGATAAAATGGGATGGCCATGCACATGGGGCTCGGAATAAACCTATAGATCCTGTACTTGGTTTCATAACGCTGCAACAGCTCGCTGATTATGTTTATGGCAATTGCTGCGGCAAAAAACGACACCGCAAGGGTGACGCAGTTTTTGGGAAGGGAACTCACACCTTCAACTCCAAGGAGCGCAATTCCACGATACATCAAACCATAGGGTGCAGGATATGCGCCGTCTGGATTTCCGATCGGGTAAGCTTTGTAGAAAAACCAGAACACCAAAGGAGACATGACACAACCCATGGCTGTCCCAAACACTTGGCTGACGAACATAGATCGAGGAGATGAGAGTGTGAGATATCCTGTCTTAAAGTCTTGCATGAGATCAGAAGCAGTAGAGACAATGCTCATCATCACACCACAGGCAGCAAGCCCGGCAATAACACCGCCACGGTCAAGGCCAACCCAAGCACTGAAGATTATGATGGCGAATTTGCCATAGTTGGAGGCAAGGGACCAATCGCTGAGGCCACAGCCATAGGCATTGCAGAAGGCCAAGACTGGGGCAATCAGATAAGCAACCAGCACATGGTACCATTTCAGTTGGGGGAAGATGAAGGGCACTGCAATGATGGATATGGCTGCAAGGGCAACATAACCAACCAACGCAACCCAGTTGGGAATTTGGTCTTTCAAGAAGTACTCCATTCGTCGTTCTTCATCATAGTTTGCAGACACAACTTCTGAAGACCCTGCTTCAAGACCATCAGGATTTGTAGATGGTGATGAATATGAGTCTAGTTTCTTTTCTGATTTGTGTGTTGCAAGACTTTTCGTGGTCAGGCATAGCATGTAGACTACATGGAATAAACCATCACCAAGCATCATGGCTATAGCAATAAAAACCTGCAATATATTAATTAAGAATATCAGAACAAATACATTGAAATAAAGCAAATGCTATAAAGTACTGGAAATTCAACAAGCTAGCTGCGGCAGAGGAAGTTTGATGGCATACCCTGTATCCTTGGATGCCATGGAGACTGCTGGCAGATAGATTAGCGCTGTACCAGATACCTTTCTTTTGCTCAATCAAGGGCCACATGATTCCCCATGAAATAATGGATCCAACAAGCAAAGATATATTTACCATGAAAGGGCAAATCATTCCAACACCAACATATGTCGATGAGAAATCAAAGTAAAACCTGCAGTCAATTTACGATAAAAGTTAATATTGGAATTGAGGCATTCATGAGGACAAGATATTAATATAATAGTTAAGAAAGACTTGTAGACAGACATACTTGTGTGCAAAGGCTTTGAGACCAAATGTTGGGAAGCTGGAAAATCCACAGCCATCGGCAGTAGCGAAAAACCACTGGAAAAAGGCAAATACAAAGCTAAAGCAGAAGCTTTTGAAGAGAACAGAAACTTGTTTCCTGCATTAAATGGTTCATAAGAAGAATAAATACAATGAACACATAATCAAAATCAGGACTCAGGAGAAGCAAGTTCTAAATTTCAAAGGTTTAATTAGAAAATACAAAGTAGAGCTAGAAATGAAGTCAATGTGTGTTTTCTTGCTAGCTGATCTCATTAATTCATAAAAGAAGATAATGCAAGTCAAATTTAAACACTCCATACTCCCTTGGGAGAGGTTGGGAAGAAACTGAACTTGAAAGTCTGAATGGGATTATGGGACGAGGCCTTTGCATTATGCTACTCTCTCTCTCTCTGTCTCTTAACGAGCTGAGTTTGAATGAGTTTCAAAAAAATTCAAAGGCCAAGAAGAATTGAATTTGGGGTTTCATATCAGAGAAGAGAAGAGCAGAGAAGAAGAAGAAGCAAACTTTTTAGAGAGAGAGCAGACACCAATTTCAGAGACAAAAAAAATTGATAAAAAGGTGATATGGGGCCAATAGGGAGCTTTTATAGCATTGCAGAAAGGGACTTTTTCGAATGAATAAAACATTGAAGCCGGGTCAAAGCCGCCAATTTCCCTTAAATTTATATATGTTAGTAAGGCTTACTTGGCTAGCTTGGCTCCTTTGGGTGTGTGAAAGCTGTTGATGAGGTATGCAGTTGCGGTTCCACTTGGGTACGTTAACTTGTACTTTATGATCATCATCTGTCGGCAATCGAAGGAAAGAAAACCAATTAAATCTTCGTACATTAATAATATATGTTGTGTTTTGTGTGTGTTGATGATATGAAGTAGTAATTTCACATTCAAACTACCTTTCTTAGAGCCATAATGGAAAACAAGCCGACGAAGCTGACGGCAAAGAGAAATCCAATCATCCATCCCACATCAAGATGCTTGATGTTGATTGGGGTGTTGCCTTCATCTCCTTGAGCAGCAATTTTTGGACTCATCCCCAGTATATAACTTGCAGTACCACCTAATTAATGTCAAACAAGATATAATTAAATTAAATAGATGATCAATAAGCCGCAAAAAAGCATACACAAATTCAATAATATTATATTAACCCGTCTCTTGACTCTGACTCTCCTCTCTCAACATCCATCCTAGTCGTCTAAGAACAAACAGAGTAGTATTATTATTATATTGTTTTTATCCAAGTTCCACATGCACGGCCAAATTAAAGATACACTATTCCAAAAGGTGAAATTTTTGATGTTCTTCTTGTTAGATTCATTCATATAATATTAATTATCTCTCTGCTATTAGTATTATATATGAATATAGAGATCTGGAATCTTCCATTCCATGAATAACAAAATAGAATAAATGAATGAATGAATTGAATTTGAAAAGATACTGCTAAAGGCGATCCCGGAAGAGGCGACGACGCAAGTTTGGATGACGGTATTTTCTTGGCGAGTGAAGGGCTGCTTCAGGAGGCCACATTTTTCAATCATGGCGGTGTAGCCTTTGACGACGGCGAAACCCATCAGGCCGGCGGCGACGTTGAGGGAGGGGATGACACCAGTGGTGAGGTTCAACTTGCAGACGATGAAGTTGAAGACAATGCTCAAGAGAAAGCTGGTGATCATTGCCCTCACAGTTATCTGCTTCGTCCATGGAGGCACCGGCGTCGTCTTGAATGCCTCTTCCACAATCACCTTCTTCTTAGCCGTTTGTTTTACTTCGAAGTCGTCACTTTGAGTATTGCTGCGTTTGCTGACGCTTCTCTCCATGGTTGATTTCTTCGATTCGATTTGATCGATCGATCGATCGGCCTTTGTGTGTTGGTTTTGTGCCTGCTCTCTCAGCCTTTTTATATATATTTTTGGTTGCGTTAATTTTAGGAGGGGAGGTCTTAGCCAACTAGCATTAGGACAAGTGATATTTGGGCTCGCAAAACAGAAATCCAAAATGGGTTGGAATTGGAAGAGTGATCCCAGTGCGTACTCTCTCTCTCTCTCTCTCTATAGACACGCTAATTAGGACGCAAATTGTGGGGAGACTTTGGAAAAACCCAAAGGAGAGAGAAATTTTGTAAAAGAAGCCAAAATGGACAAAATTGCCCTTATTTATTTTTTGATTTCCTAAGGAATCCTTTACATTTGCATGTCTTTGATTTTAAAGTTGAAAGGTTTTTTTGTCTTTTTTGAAAAATCTTTGGCTTTTTCTAAAAGTGAAATTTTTTTTATGGCTACAACCTAAATTTACTTTTTGGTTGACACGGATTTGAGAGAATCTGCACTACTTTCTCGAAGATTCCATCCTATATTATTTTATTTTATTTTATTAAAAGAGTCCATCCTATATGAATCACATAGTTTTTACTTTTTTGTAGCCTAAGTTTTATTAGCTCATAATTTTACTCATATATAAAAAAAAATATTTGAGTAGACTCTCCGACACCCTAAAATTTAAATACCAAATCAACCTAAAACTTAAATGCGATGGACTCCTGCAATTTTAGAATTCAAGTGTGATTGGGTTCTAATTTTGAGGGTGTTTAAGTCAATTCAAGTGAATTTTATCGATACTTATGACATTAGAAGCTAAATTTAACCTATAAACCTAGAGTACTGGTGGAATAGTTGGCATCAAAATATATTGAAATATTTAATTAGGAATTATTAATTCATGTTCCTACTTTAGTTTGGACTGTGATTCTGTGCATTTAGAATTTAGAATGGATGCATTTTCCGGCATTTTGACAAATCATCCTCCCTACTAATTAATTACAATGGAAATTCCGAAGTTGGAGAAGTTGATTGGACACGGAAAAGGTTTGCATTGCAGACACGCACGCGGTTGTAATATGGCATAAAAGTCAGAATGTCACATGCGATTTGCCGTTTCTGGAGATCCCATACCAAATATATATTTATACAATTTATTTCACTAAAGACCATTGTTTTGTGTATTTTCTTTGATTTCAATGCAATTCCCTTCTTGGCCCTGCACTGCACGGGATGAGTTGTCTCATGCTAAATGATCAAATGTTCATTTCTTCTAAAGGAAATCTTTGTTGGAAGATTTGGTTGATGGATGTGACTTCACTTGCAAAATATCACAGAAATAATTGTTAATAAATTATAATTTTTATTGACATGGCAAATAAGATGAAATTAATAAAATAACAGAAAAATACTTACCTTTAGGGACATAGAAGATCTTTCTCCATTTATGCTTGAGTAAAATAATAGCTTCAGGTTGAGGCGTGTTATTTATTGTCCTTAACAGTAGATTTCGCCCATCAAAGATAATGTCTCAGCGTAGTAAGGTTGTATGGCAGCCTACCCTCCAAGATACAACAACATATAACTTTCATAAGTGTACACTCGCAATACTTGAGTCAGATGAATAACTTGAATCTTTCCTATGAAAAAATAAAGAATGTGGTGGAAATAAAATAAAATAATAATTGCTCAAATGTGATCCAATAAAATTCGAGTTTTTTTATTTAAACACCGCACTTTTCTTTGTTCACCCCATATTATAAGTTCACCCCAACTTCTAATTCAAATGTTCATAATTTATAAGAAAACCTCATTATCTTCCCAAACTACCCTTAAATACACACCCAACAAAACAATAATAATAATAATAATAACTCATCAACCTCACACCTCATACCTCACACCTTACATCGCACACCCCATACCCCACTATATTGCCCCTCACCACTCTAAATTCACCTCAATCTCACATTACCTAAAGATATAAAAACACTGTTAACAACATTATTTTATAATTATTATTAAGTTGTACTAGATGTTTTGGTTTTATTTTATTTATTATTAAAATTCCTAGGAGGTTTTGGTTTTATTTTCAGCAATCACACTTCATAGTCACCAGAGCTTCTAATTTTGTATCAGCAATCACACTTTTGCATGTGGCCATCTTGACTTCAGTATTTCACATACTCTTCAAGATATCTAAGTCAATTCATCAAAGACGAAGAAAATCAAATTGGCTTTTTTTATTTTTTTCAAGGGAATGGAAAGACGAGTTAGATTCAATCTATGGGTGTGAGGATAACTGTCATACCAGCCGCTTAGGAAACTTAAATTGAATTTGACGTCTTCTAAGTGGTTGGGTGTGTACACTGGTAGACCTAGGAATTTTTTAGCGGAGGTGCAATTTTGAAAGGCTAAAAACTCTTTGTGGATTGAACATCTAAGGTTTTTACCTAGATTGACCTTAGATCCCTTCATACATTCATATCATACATGAAAAATTATTTTATGTAAAAATATTGACTAAGTATGAAAAATGGTTTTTCGGAATAACATTTTCTCAAGATAATTTTTGGCGGCTTTTATTCCTTACACATCAAATAAGAAAACTTGATTTTATGGGATTTTAGTATGAAGTATATATTGACTTAATGAGCCATTATTTTAGCCTAAATCGTATTTTGCACTAAAACCGATTTTTCATATTTTGATTTGGTGGGAATTTGATTTTCTAGTATTTTTATTTGAATCCAAATGGGGAGTACTTCCTTATTTACATTGCGCCTTAGTAAGTCCGCCACTGAGTGTGTGGGGTGTGTGTATGGATTGTAATAGGGTTAAGTATTAAGTTGGATGACTTTTTTTGTCTTTTTACACAATAATAAAACTTAAGGGCTCATTTGGTACATCGAATTGTACTAACTAATTTATGTCGGATAGTATTAAATTGTTCCGAATAGTACTAACTGTTTATCCATAATATTATAAGGTGTTTGATGGTGTTCCAGATAAATAGTCTAACTAAGTTATACATAAGATAAGATTTTTTTTTCTTTTGTTTTTGCCAAAATCTATAAGACAAGATTACATCAACTAACTCATTATCATAATTATAGAACTTGGGATGTTTATTGATGGAAAAAAAAAAATCACATCTAGATATATTTAAATAAAAAAATTATTTTCTGATGGTTTTTGTGTTGACATCGTCCTTTTGCCATCGTCTTGTAAACTCAAATGCAATATTGAAATGTTCAGTTGAGATTTTACCAGATACAGTCAAATCCTGGTTGAATTGCTTTGACATCTATAGCAACCCAACCCAACAAACAAGTCATATATAAATTTACATATAAGCAAACAAACATAAAACTGAAAAATGAAGAAAGTATACAACTTTAAATCAAGATGAAGAAAATTGATGAAAGCAAGAAACAACGGACTTATTGAAAGGAGAGAATGTCAGAGCTGAACTTGGACTTGTTAAAATCTCTCTCGATAAGTGGAGAAATATCCGTTGATTGCAGAATTGACTTCATGGTGTTCTCTTTATCCTGGGGACTTCTCCCTTTAATTGGGTATGCAAACCCCACCAGCCCATGGAATTGCAATTTCACGAACTTGGATGTCATCGATGGCGATGAAGCGAGAGTCAACCCCAGCCCCAATTGCTGACTGGTGCCTCTTGCATTGGAGAACCATAGGGAGAAGAAGATGAAAGCGTATGATGTTTCACACTTTTTTTTTCCCTAACTTTATAATTAAACGTGTATTATCTAAACCAGGGTGTGTGAGTTGTATTAATTAGTCAGGTAATGAGAATATTAAAAGCCCAAACCGTTTAAAATAGTCAGGTAATTAAATAATACAAGTTGACACCAAACAACTGACATAGACTATTTACTCCTATCCAGAGTATAACACGGTGTACCAAACGAGCTCTAAAAGCTTAATAATTTAAGTATTGGAGTGAACGAAGAAAAATGCGTGGTTTAAATAGAAAAACTCTAAAATTCTGATATATCTCTCCAAAGCTCGAATTATCTTCCCCATCAGCCCACTAGCTAAGGCTTTTTATAGTTTGTTACATCTCAAATGCATTAAACCAATTGCAATAAAATCACATAAAATTGCCTGCCTGTTTTTGCAAACAATTTCCTACCGTTAGATGCAGCATGCAATGTAACTTGAAAGCTTTAAAAGCTCAACAACAAATAACCAATTAAATACAAAACCAACTCAAGGCTAAAAACAAAATGAATACACCAAATCAAGACCAAAAAATTAGTCAACCTAAAACTGACGCATAAATACACCAAAGGGTTTTTTAAATCAAAACATAGACTATGAAAATAGCAATTGTGGGCTGATTAAAACCAAAAAGTTACGTCCCATTAAATTTGATATTAGAATCGATATAAAATAAACAAGTATTTATATATTATAAATATGTAAATAATTTTAGTTTAAATAAATCAAATAATAAATTAATTGTATTTTGAAGTACTCACAAAAATTCCAACAATCTTTCCCTGGATTGTACATCAAGATTAGCACCAACTGTTTGAAATACATGTCAGGAAGATTGCCACATTTAGAGCTGATTGCGGATGAAGAATTCATGTTTGCTGCACCACCTGCAGGGCAAATTGGCAATGGCATGCACAGAGTTCGTGCTGCCGAAATTCCTCGTGTGACAATCAAACAATAGACGATGACTAGCTCAATCTTCCATTACGAAGTCGTGTATTGTTGTTTTTGCACCACCAAGATAGAGCATCTGCACCTGAAATCATCAGAGGCAATCATGTCCCCGACAATACCAAGCTCCGGGAATTCACTCCATTCATCAAGTCCTGAAGTTTGAGAGGTTTCCATGTTCTTTCTTCTCCCAACAACCAAAAGCTCATATTGGTTCACAATATTCCGAAGTATCGCCACGGTTTGGGGTCCGTTTTCTGCCACTTCCTCTGTGTAGAATGCATAGTTGTCATAGCTAACAT